TTTTATTCTTTAAAAAACTATATGTGACTCTTTTTACATAAATAAGATTATATGCACTTTTATTTGTTCTTTATATAAATTATTATTTTTTCATTCCAAAACATAAAATCAGTAAAATATAATAAAGTATATTTTGGTTGGTTTTTTGTGTCATTTTTTGATAAACAATAACTTATTAGGTAGAAATATATATTAAGTGAAACAAGTCAGGCACAGAAACAGAAATGCCACATGCTCTCACTTATTTGTGGGAGCTAAAAATAAATAAATAAACACACAAACAAATAAGGGGGGAGGAAGACACAACAACACAATTCCTTGAACTTGTTAAGTGAACAGATATGATGTGGGGGGGAGGGAGAGAAGAAGTGGGGAAAGAGGAACCAGTAAAGGGTCATGAAAATCAAGTACAATTGAGAAGCTAAAAAATAAACAAACAAACAAATAAATAAATATTAACCATTCTTATTAAGTGATGTACTATTATGGTATCATGCAGCTTTCAAAATGTTTGGATTGTTTATCTATCTGTCTGTCTACCCACCTATCTATCATCTATCTCTCTGTCTACATACCTACCTATAATATTTAATAAAGGATGAAGAAAGTACGATGATAATCTAATTAATAGAGAAGCAGGGTAAAAAAAATGCCATCAAATAGAAAGAAGTTAAACACATTTTTTGGGATTTTTTTTTTTTTTTAATCCACTAAAAGGAACTAAAATAGCCTCTTTCTACTAGAGGGTTCCTTGACATAAAATCCTTAAAGCTGTCTTCAACTATAGTATAGTACATCACACCTTCAATTAGCTACTGAATCCTTTCAAATATTTTTGCTAAAATAATGGGTCATACATACCAGTGCTATGTATTTGGGATGATTAAACTGATAGTAGTGAAAATACATCAAAATCAGGAACAGAACACTGGGAAAAATTTAACTGCACAAAAAAGGAGAAACAAAGTAACATTTGATCTAATAAAATAAAGTAAAATCGCAACAATCCTAAGTCATTTCCAAAGGAAAACCGTTATAGCAAAGAAAGTACCATTGAAAATGTGAAGATTATTTTTGGAATTGATTTTCATTTCTAAATTGAAGTAATACTTCAGTTTAAAAATAAAACATTTTTCTAAAATGAGAAAAAAAGTAGGAAAAGAATCCAACTAAACTAATACAAAACTATAAAATGCAACATGCTACTGATTTTTAAATAAACACTATGTAAGGCACTGCTGCTACACATTTTTAGTAAAAGAAAAAGATTAATAAACAGGTTGCTTTTTATTTGGCTCTTCGCTTCTTTCTTCTAAAAGGAAATTTTGGTTTTTAGGACATTCTTGAAGGTATTAAAATTACGGTTTAATATTTGAAATCTACATGAGATAATTATTAGGAAATGGTTGTCATCATGTGTCATCTCTAAAAAAATTTGTTCTTTATATTCTTGCATTGATTTAATTGTGGCATAGCCTCTCATGATGCTTTTCAAATAAGTTAACTGAATATATTGACCAAGACAACAGCTGATTGCTTCTTCAACATTTATAATTATTTCTCAGTAAAACACTCATTATGTGAGTATCATAAAGCATTGGTTAAGAGAACAGGCTCTAAAGCCTTTTTATTTATTTATTTTGTATTTCTAATGGTCCTTTCAATTTTTATAACTGCAGAACATTAAAAAAAGTTACTTTTATCTATTAAATATGAGAGTAGCAATACTTACATATTTATAAATGCTATGAAAATTGAATAGGATAATAGATTTTAAGTATTGAGCGAAAGTACAAGTAGTTGTTCAATCAACACATATGAGCTATTTTCCTCTTCTCCCCCTTGCTTTGTACACTTTAACTCAGGTTTTAACTCATTTCCATGTTTATTTGATGTGTCATAGCAAAAAGTCAAAATGATTATTTTAGCAAATTCTTCCATTTGGAGACAAAGTTGTATAAAAAGACATTTTTGACTGTAACAAGATCTAGAATTAAACTCCAACCTTCTGTGCAGGTTAATAAATTTCTTTTTTTTTTTTCAAAAAGATGACCGGTAAGGGGATCTTAACCCTTGACTTGGTGTTATCAGCACCACGCTCAGCCAGTGAGCTAACTGGCCATCCCTATATGGGATCCGAACCCGTGGCCTTGGTGTTATCAGCACCGCACTCTCCCGAGTGAGCCCAGGCCGGCCCCCAGGTTAATAAATTTCTAATAAGCTCAGTTTTTTAATATGTAAGATAAAACCAAACACTTCAGAGTTTTCAGGTTAAATAAGATAATGTTGAAATGAAGTTTTCACTGTTTATGGTAAGTGGTAAAAACTGAAATTCTAGTCCCCTCCTCTAAATCTAGATATGTATATAGAGAGATAGAAACATAAATACATAGATGTAAGACAGACAAATAGGACAGATGATACAGAAACAGAGAGAGAGAGAGAGAGAGAAAATATCTGAAAGACACAGAAACAGAGACACGGAGATCTCCCATCTCTACTAGTTACACATGGTTATATGGTTGAAAGCAGGCACCAAGTCAAATTTATTTTTGACATTCTTGAAGAATCTAATTTTTCCTTACATATTCAAAGAACTTAACAGATATTTATTAAATAAATGAATAAATGAAATCAATGAATCAATCAATCATATTATTTAAGTCAAATTTAAAAATCATGTTTTAAAGTGAAAGTCTCTGTCTTCTACAACATTCATAGACTATCTGAGTGTACCTCCTAGATTCATAATGATTTTCCCATTTTAATTAATAGGGATGTGTGAAACCACTTGCTTTACTGGAGACATTTCTATTGGCATTCTCAGACTAGCAATTATTTCATGTGCAATATTAATTAAAATACAGTATATATCAACATTGGCTTTCTCTTAAGAACAATAGCCACCTTCCTAAGACATTATTTTTTGATATCAAAATTTTAAAAATAGCTTGTCCATATAAATTGTGTTATCAGACAATAAATGAGACCATTTCCTTTTTCTATAGGGGAAAATACATCAAATACACTTCTATCAAATACGTTGCTTAGTTAGTGTGTGCAAAGGAATTAAAGATTTTATGTGAACAGTAGGTTTTTATTGTTTTTTTTTACTTTTTTAATTAAGAAAGTTCCTCCTAAAGATATAACAAACTTTCTTTACTCTATGCAGCATTACATATAGTAACCAATAAATTATCTATCACATTATGTATCATATATACAGACAGGTCTACCTTATGCTGTGCATTCATATATCAAGATCCAACAACACATTATCTAAAGTGTGTCTAAAATATTAATATATAATAATATCACAGAGCCACAACCCATCATGACCATTTGAGTTATTTCAAGTAAACATCCAAATTTGAAGGAAATGTGAATATTGAATAAGTATTCAGATTGCTTCTTTTAAAAATAATTTTAAAAACAGTATTGCATTGTTACATAGGAAGTTGTTATGGTAAAAGATCAAAAAGAGTCATTGGTCTAGCATTGATTACTTAGAAAAGAAGGCTTTTTGTGAGGTCGACTTTAAAAAAAAAATCCAGCATAATTATATTTGGCACAGAAATATTAATATATATATTTTATGCTGAATATATATTTATTTTTGTTTTGAATATGTAAAAAATAAATGTACATAAATATATATTTATATATGGGTGTATGTATATTTGTATTGAAATTTTAGCATGACTAGAAAAATTAGTAACACTATACCTGCTGATATATGTATGATAGATAGGACAGAATGCACTGTAGGCAAAAATTTGCTTTCTATGAAACAGCAATCAATAAATGACTCAGAAACTATGTTCACATAATTTAAATGTAGTTTTTTATTCAAAAAATCAAATAATAAATCTAAAATATATTTAAATACTATTAATATTTGGAAAACTAATATAATATTGATTAATCTAACTTATTCACTTGTAATTCTAAAATCTGATTTATACAACAGTCCTTTTTTTCACAATGGAATATAAAAAAACCTATTCACAGCTCTAAGTCTTACACATAAGAGTAGCTTAACTCTCTTTGAATGAATCATTAACAAACATTTCATTGTGTTTGAAACAATAAAAACATCAGAATTAATAAAAAAGCCGTATCAAATGAATAAACTGGAAATAGAATTTTAGAAAAAAAAAAATGATTAATCTAACTTATTCACTTGTAATTCTAAAATCTGATTTATACAACAGTCCTTTTTTTTACAATGGAATATAAAAAAACCTATTCACAGCTCTAAGTCTTACACAAAAGAGTAGCTTAACTCTCTTTGAATGAATCATTAACAAACATTTCATTGTGTTTGAAACAATAAAAACATCAGAATTAATGAAAAAGCCGTATCAAATGAATAAACTGGAAATAGAATTTTAGAAAAAAAAAAATTAAGACATATTTCTTTATTATCTCTATCACAATAAACAAATTTATTTTTATTTGATATCCATGAAGACTTAGATATAAATCAAAAGAAGGAGCTCAGCCCCTGCTTAGCTATTATTTGACTCTTGAAAAGCTATTTTGAATCTAAATTCCAAACTAAAAATAAACTAATACTGCTAAGAGCTATAAAATTCCAACAAAGTTTTCATTTCACTAAAAATATTAAATTTACTAACTGTAATACTGTAAATTAGTACATCATAATGTACATTTCTAATGCGTGCCATATTTTTCTTGTTAGTAAAACCCTAAATAGGAAAAGTTAAAATGTCCATGAAATTAGAACAGACTAGAGTCTTTGGTCAAGTTCTCATTTTAGGAAGATTAAAGACTGATATTCAGGGCCTGCCTTTTTTGGTTGCGACTGTGATATTGGATAGTTGCTTTTTGTCTGGGGCAATCTCTAGATATTGCTGTTTCTTTGATATATTATCAATGTCCCATTCCACCATGATAAAACTGCAACTCTAGTACTAATAGGTTTGTAATGATTGCTTAAGCTTTACACTTGGTAAGCATTGGAAGACTTCACTCACCTTGTTCAAGTGGTTGGCTTTTAGTTGAAGTAGTTTTCATCTTGAGTGCCTCCCTAACAGACATGTCACAGCAGGAGCCTTTGTTAGTGTCTTGGTCACTGTCAGCCTGATCACTGTCCCCGTGCCCACTGTCTCTCAGGCTGGCTCTTTCTGGGTCCTTAAACGTGGAGCTACTGAAATACATATAAAGAAAAAGAAGAGAAAGTGTTGTCTCTACTAGATTGAATCTGAAGTGTAGTCTCTTGCAAAGCAATTTTGACACAAATGTAAATGGGGAAGCTGAGAAAGTTATTTAATAGGCCTTACCTTTGAACAAACTGCTGCCTGCTGCCCATGTAATTGGGCTCTGCGGGAAAATTGTCTGTCTGTGAAAAAGAAGGAAAAAAAATACGTATAGTTGTACACTGGACAAATCTCCTGCAGAGCAACAAGATTTCCTAGTGGAAAAATGATTAATAATTCAAAAATTCCCTTAATCTTCAGATTTGTACATTTTAATTAAATTGGAAATTGCTGACATGTAATTATGTACTCAGACAATTAAATGATTCCGGTCCACAAATTACCTGTTAAAGTAAACAATGAGCCTGTCATAACTGGTATTCTATGTTAGTTCCAGGATAGATAACACTGTCTGTGTTGTTTCATTACTTAGATATTAAGATTGAATATTTGTGGGAGGAGTGGGAAAATGACCTAATTTCTCCATATTAAAAATGTGAATTATTTAATAATACTCATTTTTAAACATAATTATATCATCTGCTGGGATTCTATGCCCTTCTTGATGTAATATCATCTAAAGTCATCCACTCCTCAATTAAGAGATTCACGGCCTTTTCTTAAATTTTGCCAGTAACAGATATAAGCATGTCACATAGAGTTGAACTCATCTCTATAATTCATTCTCAGCTACATCTCAGTTACTGAAATTCTATTCCAGCAACCCCATGGAAATGGTTGTCACTTTCAGCTTATTTAAAACAAAGTAAAATAAAAATAATGAAAAAGTGTAACTTAAAACACTGAGAATAAGGACACTGAGAAACCAGGCTTGTTTTGTGGTTGTTTTTACTGCTTCCAAACTGATGGGGAGGTCTGCCAAAAAGAACTGAATTCTCTTTCTGTCATGGAACAGAGTCTTTTGGGAGAAAGAGACTGGATCTTTCATCGATCTCCCTATACTGTACATTCATACACGTTACTTCTTCTTGCAGCTGACTCAGTGACAAAGCTTCTCCTGTTTTCTGCATCACTTCATATCATGCCATTATGCTCTGGAGCAGCTATGGGTTCATGCAGGATCATCCAGCATACAAGTATCAGTGACAATGGGAGCATGCAATTCATGAAGCAGAGGGCCCAAGGTAAGGCTTAATGTAGTGCAATATCTGCTTTCTTTATAAATAAGGCTAATTTAAAATAAGAGTCCTTTTTTTTCTTCCCATAAATTTAAAGTATTTGGCTCTGTGAACTATTACTGGGGAAAAAAAAGACACGTTAAGAATAACAGCTTAAAGCACTTAACGTAAGTTTCACTGGCAAGTTTGGGGGAAGCAAAAACCCTCAGAAATTTCTTAACGTGTAATCTTATTTTTAATTTTTCTTTCTTTTTTTTTTTTTGTCCAAATGACCTTTATCAAACTACATGAAAAGATGAAGATAAACTAGGTGGATTAATTTCTCACTCCTAACCATTTTAAACTATAACAGTTGGTGGCAAACATTTTCCATTAACAAGTAATAGTTTTCCAGATTCAGTGAAGCATCATAATTTTTGTTTCCATAATGACAAATTATCAATTTTTAAGTATAACTTGATCTTCTAGTAAAATAATAGTGGTAACCTACAACAGTGGCAAAAAATGTTTGCAAAAAATTTTTGCAAATTTTTGTAACTATAATTACTTAGAAACTTCATATTTCTCGAAATTCTTTTTATTATTGAAACATAATTGATTATGCATATTTGTGGGGTATAGACTTGACTATCAATACCTGTGTACAATATGTGATGATCAATACAGGATAGTTAGCCTATTCACCATTATTTAACATAATCATTCTTTGTGTCCATTAACCAGTTTCTGGCTAACTTCCCTCCCCTCCCCCTTTCCCACCTATCTAGTAATCACAGTTCTGAAACTTCACATTTTAACTTAATAAAATCGTTTGTCCTTTGAATTGGTCAAAAACATGTATCCAACCCATTATGACTTTTGGTTAAAAGCTAAATATGAGTGCCTTAGAATACATCAAATAAAACAGAACTTCAGGAATTAAGGACAGAGTAAAGCATAAATTGAAATTGAAAAACTCTGGTTAGAAAACATAAGCACAATTATAAATAGTGTTATGATTTTGATGGTTTTAATTAAGTGGGAGCTCATCAGATGTGGATCTCTATTCAGTTAGACACAGGGAAATTTGCTGGGGAAAATTTTCTTCTGTCCCAATAGGAACAGTATCTAAAAATGTTTGCATATTATTAAAGTTCGAATCAGTGCTAATAAAAGATATATATATATATATATATAAAATATATATATACTGTTTGCATATTATTAAAGTTCGAATCAGTGCTAATAAAAGATATATATATATATATATATATATATAAAATATATATATACACACACACACACATACAATGTGTGTATGTGTGTATGTGTATAGCTATGAATCAGAGTGTTGGGCAAACAATGGTAGCAATGAAATTGCTACCAAATATTGTTTTGGTGAACATAGAAAAACAAGAGGAACAGAGAAAAGAAGGGAGTTTGGGAGGGAAAGAAAGAGAAGAAAAATAAAAGCAGAGAGAAAGTAAGAGAAAAATACAGAGAAAGAAAGATCAGAGAGAAAAACAAAAAGATATATAAAGCAGGAGGAAGCAAGGTAGGGGGGTTAAAAAGAAATGCAGAAAAAAGAAATTGGTTCATGTTCATAGAATTTCACAAAATACAATTCTAAATGTTTGCAACTTAATCAGTAACAGAGTGTCAGAAGTTGGCTAATAATGTCTGCGCTCACCCATAAAGTAGATAGGAATGTGACAGCTTGTGTGTGTGTGTGTGTGTGTGTGTTTAATTACCATAATGAAATAGCCATTTGGCCTTTAACAAACACATAACTAAATCACTATAAAAACCACACTGGTTTAATACAAAAAGTAACGTTTTCATTATCTAGGCTCCAAGGGTGTCTGAAAACTTATTTAAAATAATCTGAGTATGAAATAAGAGTATTTGCATAGAAAGATGGAAAGCAGAGAAAAAAGCCATATGTATCACAGCATCATTTAATTTAGAAGTTGAAGGACTTTCAGACATTTTACAACATTGCACTCTAAAAATCTAGTTGTACCTTGTACATTTATAATTCTTAAATTTTCAGTCTTAGAAGAAAGTAAAATTTGAGGTCAGACATTTATAACTTTTTAGGTCTCAGCAGAGTAATTAATATTAATACAGTCATGTGCTGCATAATGACCTTTCATACAACAATGTACCACATATACGAAAGTGGTCTCATAAGATTATAATAGAGTTGAAAAAATTCCTATTACACCGTGGCATCATAGGTGTCCTAACATCCTAGGCCTTTACATTTACTCACCACTCACTCACTGATTCACCCAGAGCAACTTCAGGTCCTGGAAGCTCCATTCATGGAGCTCTGTACAGGTCGTATAACATTAAAAAAAAAAAACAAAAAAACTTTCATACTATATTTTTACTTTATCTTTTCTCTGTTTAGATGTTCTTAGATACACAAATACTTACCACTGTGTTTCAGTTGCTTACAATATTCAGTCAGTAACATGCTGTACATGTTTGTAGCCTAGAAGCAATAGGCTACCACATAGCCTAGGTGTGTAGTAGGCTATACCATCTAAATTTAAGTAAGTACACTCAGTGATCCACAAAGGTGAAATTATCTAACGTATCCTTGTTAAGTGATCATGACTGTATTTACAACTCTTGAAAACCTTATCCTTTTTCATAAAAAACTAATCACTACAATGTTTTCTCCTCAAACTCAACTTAAATACAGTGACTTTTAACTATTATTTCAAAAACATATAATTTGTTCATCATAAAAAAAAATGTGTAGCTTGAATAAAAAAAATGTGTACCTAAGTAGTTGCATATACATTTTCAAATAGACATTTAAAAACCTTAGGGTATGATGATCTATTTAATCTGTTCAAAAGTTTGAAATAAATGAGACAAAATTTGTCTTTTTTAAAAATTGACTATTTGCTCATAACAAAACAATTCTTATCTAAAATAAAATTGAATGAACCTTCCTATTTTTTTAAATGTTGTTTGTGAAAGGAAATACAAATTTAGATATTCTTTACTTTCTTTTGTGCAAAAAATAAACAAAATAAACAAATAAGCAAGCAAAACTTAAAGTGAATAAAGACTGCTGGAGATAAATAGTATCTTTGATTATTTGTCTAGTTATTTCTCTACTAGTATTCAGCAAGTCGATGTACACTGATAAATGATATTCAAAATCAGCATTTTTATCAACGGTATTAAATAATAAACAATTCCTAAGACATGCCATATCCTGCAACTTGCTAATCCTACTAGAACTCTGAAACACAAATCATGATTTAGGATAAATGATATTCAAAATCAGCATTTTTATCAACGGTATTAAATAATAAACAATTCCTAAGCCATGCCATATCCTGCAACTTGCTAATCCTACTAGAACTCTGAAACACAAATCATGATTTAAAAAATAAGTATCTCTAAGAAAGATTGAAAGAAACTACTTAGTAAAACTGAACCATGTTGGCTGAAATTGGGAAAGTTCTTTATTGGTCAAAGTAGATTATTTTGGCATAGCCACTTTACATGTGCCTTAATAAGTTGATCTGAAAGTGGACAGTAAAAGAAATAAAAATAGATTTTTTTACTATTAAAACATTAAAAATAAAACATTTAAAAAATATGTCAAACATTCGACAAAGTTCAACATCTGTTAATGATAACAATTCTCATCAAACTAGAAACAAAAGGAAACCTCCTCAACTGTATAGAGTGCATCTACAAAAAATTGTATAGATAGCACCATACTTAATGGTGAAAGCTTTTCCCCAGGCAGGGAGGTCCACTTTCACCACTTCTATTTCTCACTGTACTGAGAGTCCTAACAAATTCAATAAGGCAAGAAAAATAAATAAAGGACATACATATTGGAAAGGAAGAAAAAAATATATTCACAGATAATATCATTGTATTCACAGGTAATATTATTGTTTAGACCAAAAGCAGTAAGCAGTCAAAACAAGCAAAACTTCTTAAAATTAATAAATGAATTAAGCAAGAATGCTACATTCCAGGTCATC